TGCTGAAAGCTGGCTGCCCCCCCCCCCCCCCCCCCCACACTCTGACCACCCCCAGCCTGCTCTCACCTGTGTATGTGTCATGTGTCTTATGGAGAGCAAGATGGGGTGGGTGAAAGAAACAGCAGGAATGAATAAAGTATCTCTATTCTATTCTATTCTATTCTATTCTATTCTATTCTAATTTATTCTATTATATTGTAATACAGGGTTTCCTAAACATAATTTTAAGTATGATTGACATATTCAAAGATGGCAAATGTGAGCTGCTCTCTAATTCGCGTCATCAAGCCAAAGTATAATAATAGTACAATAATACACAGAGAGCATCACGTTGCATTGCATCATCATTCCCTCACCTGCATGACACTCTTTCCAGTTATTTTAGGCCAGCCAGTAACCATGGAGAGAAAGGACCAGTATCACAGCCTGTACTCCACTCTGTCATCTATAATCAACTGAGCCCATCAAGAAGCTGAACTAAAAATCCATACCTACAGGATAACTTTACATTCTGCAGTATGAAATTAATTCTCTGTTTATTTAACAGATTTTCATGAATTGTAAAAAGGAAATAGCTTGTATATGGTGTAATAAGGTTCAGTCTAGTTCGGTGTTCATGTTTGATGTACCAAACTAATACTAAAGTTTGAATAAGTTACTGCAACATTATTTACTGCTATGGTTACCAATTGGTTAGAATTTCTGCACAGGCATGCCTGCTGAACTGAGAGGGAGACATCTATAAATATATGAAATTTCAACTGATTCTTCTTCATTGAAAAGAGACCATGATGCTTCAGAAAGTCTGATATTGCTTATGCAGTTCCTTTATCCCAGATTATAACTTTGCAGTATGTAGCGTTTGCACAGTATGTGGATAATTCACTCTCTTGTTCCCAGACCTCCCTCAGTAATGCTTCTCCAGCACTAGGTCAGGTCAGATCACGTTGGGGAACCCACCATACAACTAAACATTTTGGGATCCCAGTTGGCGACCCCCCAGGCTGGCACGCAGTCCGGTCCCACCCTCCAGAAATTATCATCTATCTGCCGCAGCCAGGTGTTACGTGGGTGTCCCCTTGGCCTGGTCCAGCCACTCGGGTCCTCAGCGATGAGGATCCTGCGAGCCGGATCACTGTCAGGGAAACACGCCACATGGCCGTAGTGCCGTAACTGACGTTCCCTCACAATGCAGGTAATGTGCCTTATTTGGGACTCCCTGAGCAACCGCTCGTTCAACACAAAGTCAAACCAGAGGTACCCAAGGATTCTTCAATGAGACACAGTACCAAAGGAGTCCAGTCTTCGTCTCAGCTCACTGGATAGAGTCTAGTCTTTGTCTCAGGTCACTGGATCGTGTCCATGTCTTGCAGCCGGTTTTGTGAGGGCCAGGCCTGCAATCCAATGGCGGTATTATATAGTCTACATGACAGGGATAAGCAGAATATATCCACAGTCAGTAGCAAAGTATACCAAGAGGGAACATCCCCCCCTCCCCCCATGACTGCTTGACAACAATTCCCGGGCTGCTTTGAGTTGCCAGTCCACCCCTGACTTTTCCTGTGTTGCTGAAAATGCAAATTGTCTATGCTCAGGGGAGAGCCTCTATTGTGACAAATCAGACTTAGTGCGAATTGACATTGTAACTATGAGGCAAAGGTAATGAAGCTGTCTAGCCTTTCAGTGGTGGCCATGGTGAAAATGTTTAACAACAACAGCTGTACGATCTTCCATCTTCTTCTCCTGAGTCACATGCACTGCAGCAGGAAATGATAAACCACCACCACTGCATTTCCTCCTGCAACTACGCTGAAATGCGCCTATAATCAGAATAACGAGGAAGGAAAGGGCTTTGATGTTTTAGTCAAATTTCTCATAATGGGCCAGAATTATTACCAAGCCTGTATTATTTACAACAGAAGTGTATTTAATGTTAACTGTTCCATATTAAGCTCAACGTAAACCTCACCAAGCATAGGATTACACTCAAAATCTATACCAGTCGTGTTCAATACAACCACAAAAATCAGCCTAATGCTATGAAATTAAAGAAAGAACAAATGATGAGACTTACTGTATTTCTGCTTATATATTTTTGTGTGCATTATCCATGGGTTTGTTTCTCCTCTAGTTTGTTCTCAGGGAGAGACTGAGCGCAGGTATCAGCTGACGTTTCCTTCTGAATAATCAGCCACCAACAAAATCCACAGAAGCACAGAAGAAAGTGGAGTGTAGTTATATCAGAGCCAAAGTAGGACAAACAATGCAGATTTTTCATTACAGTTAACCAACAGGAGATATATATATCTCCTACAAAAAACAGATTTTGTCCAGAGTATTGTTCATGTTACCAATATTATGGCCTCCTATTTGCTTTCTTGTTCCACTTTTGGTTTATGGTATAATGGAAGGAAAAATTATTATGTGAGAGAACAAACGTAGGAGTAAAGTATAACAATACAAGGCTGACTAATGTTTTCAGCTTCTGCCGACGTCTCACGCAGAAACAGTGAAGCTGATGAACAAGTGAAGAATTATCACAGGAAGCAGCAGAAGCCTGAGCTTTGGTCATTCTGCACCTTTTCTCCCACAGTCAGATTCCCACACATCCTGTTACAACGAAACCATTTTAAATGTCAAAGTGTCACGAGTTGAATAGCAATTATCCTTCTATTACCCAGCTTTGGGAAGATGCAATATGTTACACACCGAAGGCTATTGTCAGACATTTGTAATCCGTCGCCGCACAAGTTAATGAGTCAGTAATAACAATAAATTAAGTTTTGTGATGACGATAATAAAGGATCTATCCAGATTACTGACAATACTACCAAATATTGCGTCACCACAGCTGAGGTATCAGCAAAGACATTTATGTTTCTCTCGAGATGGTAAAAAAGTTGGGAAGTTAAAAACCATCTTTCTGCTCTCCCATTTCACCACTAAGGACAAGGGGCTGTTAAAACACTCCATGGCCTTTTTCTGACAGAAGAACTGAGGTGCGAATCCCAGCAACACAGCAACGCTTAGATGAATAAAACATGACACATTTCCTATGGGCCTCTGCAGACAGTCAGATTTCAGGATTTTTATGCAAGATCACTTTGACGATTTGCACCAAGAGTCTCACATTATGAACGCTGCTGATTTAAACACCCTGTTTAATAAAATTTAGTCCTTTGGATAGAAATACACAAACAATTCATAACAAAATTACAGTGAGTTACATCAGGAACTAGTCTTATTTTCATGTACATGTTTTTATTTCACTTAGTTTAAAAAATACCAAAAAAAAACAATAATTGTAAAATTGGTTCATAGTAATAGAATTTCTGGTAATAGAAATTTCTGTATGAAAAATGAGTTCAAATCCTCTTAGTTCTGAAGGTGTTTCCTTCCGAAAGCCAGCAGATTTCTAAACAACTGATGACCTGCATCTGTCCACCACTGCATCGCATTGTTCATATAGCACTTCTGCATTTTATCAATATCATATACTGTACGGTTGTCAATTTGCACATCCTCATCCCCATGCCATGCTACTTATTACTTATTTACTATGTTTACTTATTCTTATATTGCAGTCTTGTCTTGTATTGCACTACTGTTTGCCCTGTCCCCCAATTCTCCTGCCCCACGCTCCCCCCCACCCCCCATAGCCGTTGCACAAGAATTTCACCGTGTCCCTCCATACACACGTGACAGTAAAACTTGAAACTTGAAACTTGAAACCTAAGAAGTGAGCGCCCTGCTGTATTGCAGGCATCTTTGTTTGTAATGGCTACTTCCTGGGTACCTTTTATGTCAGAGATCGGTCCCTTTATTCTCAGATTATGCTGATTGCCAAGCAGAAAAAAAATGGTAATTATAGGTTGACTTCCCTCATATTCATATTCAGGAAGCACCTTTGAACACACAAGGAAATTAGTCTGTGTGTATAATCACTTCCTACTCCACTAAATAAATAAAAAATAAAAATCTGTATCAAAGACAATAATGACTTCTTCAGATCAAATGTTGTTTATAAGATAAATCTGTGAAGACTTTCCTTGATTGGTTTTGTATAGCGTACAGCATTTTTGCTGAAACAGCAGACGAATGTTGAATATTAACATTTTATTTATTTTTTATTTTTTTATTTTTTATTTTTTTTAATTGTATTAACATTAAAATCATTCAGCCAAAAAGGTTTAGATTTTTAATGTCAGGCACAAGAATTTAAATGAGATATTTAGAAGAAGATGTAGATTTAGAAGACAGAATTCCATTTATGGACAGATTGTGTTCAGATGGTAGAGAATTATAGATATACGCTTTTTATCTTGCATTGTAACACAATATGTAACACTAAAAGTCTGAATTAATCAGAAAATTAAGAGTACAAAATAGAAATGATTAATCAAAATTAAAGCTTTCTTTACGAATGACATCTTCATTGTTTGTATTCATTCTTGTATTTGTAATCCTTTTTTAAACTGATTTGAACCTTTTGTACTGTTCTCATAAAACAAATAAAATACTAAGAAATCATTTGAATTATTTGGTATATTCAACATACAAGTAACTGACACGAACTTTTGAATTTCATGAAAATTTCAGGAGAGTCAACTAAGTTAAGTTGGCTAGAATTAACGTGATCTATGATAGGGACCTTTATATGTTATGTTTAGAAATAATTCATTTTTAATTAATTTGACATTTTAACTATTATAGAAAATAAATATATAAAATAATCCCTTTTATTTTAAGAGAAACATTGCAAAATAAACACGCATTACTTGTTAAAACGTGTGTTAAACATGAGCACGCAATTCATACAAATCATGCGCAGTGGGCATTCTGTGAGCTCCGACAAGCTGTGCGAACTGCGTAGTGAGGTTACGCAGGCTTAGCATTGTGTGAAGCAAAGGGAGCTGGACTACGTACACTGCGTAGTAAAAGTACGCAAGATCGGTGTTCTGCGTGTTGCCAATAAAGTTTTACGTATTGAATTACTATTAAACAAGCGCTAAATATGGCGGAGTACGATCTTACTACCAAGATCGCTCATTTTTTGGACCGGCATTTAGTTTTTCCTTTGCTGGAATTCCTTTCTGTAAAAGAGGTATGTATATAATGTATTACTGAGTTAAAATTCAGTTTGATGTTTAGTAGTTTGCTTATTGGTTGTCCGGCTTTAGCTGATTTGCTTTCAACCATGTGAGTCCCTGGGTGCCGGGTACACTAGGCCTGAGTATTGAGAATGCGCATCAGACTCGCTGATCGATGCTATCAATATTGGAAAGTTGTCCTTCATAACCATAGTTTAGCTGATCACCCTTGTCGGGATTAGTTTATTATAATATATAGTTGTTGCCTTGTGTATGGTAATTAGGAGCCACTGAATATATCTAATATCGGGTGCGGTGTGTGAAGATCCGACTCTTCAGTTAAAGTCGTATTAAATCGGGGTAGACGTTTTAGTAGCCTCATATTCGGTTAGTTAAATGTTGCACCTAGTTAGCTGTTGTCTCAGTCAGCTATCTTTAATAGTCATGTATCAGCAGTATGCTTTAAAGCTTATTGCTTTGTTTGGTTTGTATATCTATTTGGATGTGCTTTAGTCATTAAAAATTGTGAAGGATAACTGTCATAAAAACAGACTAGACTCGGACAAACTACCTCGGAAAGAGAAACAGTGGTAGAAGCTCACTGACAATAGTTGCTAGGGATGCCAACTGTGACGCATCTGGCATGACACTCACCTTTTCAGACTCCCACACTCACGTAAACTTACAGCAAATCTATATTATTCCATTAGAAACCTAACATTAGCTACATCAGAAGCATCGGGGTAGTTTTCAAACCCTACAGACTGTTTAAAAGGTAATAAAATTGTTACATGCCATTAAATGTGTGCGCAGACTAGTCTCAAATTGAAAATCTCACTCCAACCAGCTGACCAAAGTTGACAACCCTGAAGTTGCTAAATGCCATAAAGGATGACTAAAGAATTTATAGGACCTCTGTGATGCATGCTCAACAAGAACTGTTAATGAAAAGCACAAACTGGTGTTTAAGGCATGACTTCCATTGGAAACCACTTATGGCCAAGGAAAATGTACAGACACACAAACTAGTGTATGGATTACACGTCCCAAATTGGGGGGGGGGGGGGGGCAGTGGTTGAAATACGTAGTCTGATGAACCTGAATAATATTGTATTATGAGTAATCGTTCATACTTTTTTTTTTTTGTTGTTGAAAGTCAAGTGATGCCTCCAAGTACAATGTTTGCTGGTATGGACAGCCATCTTGCGGGAGTCATAAGGTCCAATTGCTGCTGTGCAAAGTCATATAATGAACAAGATATATATGGCTAATTTACAGGACCAGATGCTGCCTATGATGTAGTCCAGGGGTCACCAACTCCGGTCCTGGAGGGCTACTATCCAGTAAGTTTTCTATCCTACCTGGCTTCTGATGAGCCACACCTGCTCCTGGTATTTGCCTGAGAACTAGTGTGGCTCATCAGAAGCCGGGTAGGATAGAAAACTTACTGGATAGTAGCCCTCCAGGACCGGAGCTGGTGACCCCTGATGTAGTCCATCCCTCATCGTGTTCTTATATTCCAAAATGATAATGTCCTCAGACACTGCTAAAGAAATTCAAGATGAGCACAAGAATGAATTTAGACATCTTCCAATCCCTAGATCCAAGTATCACTGAAGTTTTATGGGAAGTTCACAAGCACAGAGTACAGACTAGAGTTCCACATCCTTCATCCCTCAAAGATCTGGAGGCTTTTGTTCTTGAAGGCTGGTCCAATCTCCCACTACACGCAGTTCAGGGCTTGTCTGGCGGCATTCCATCAGGGACTCCAGCTCTAATGGGTGGTTCTGCTCCATATTGGGTCGTCGATGTCAGTATATCATTAGTAGGGGTATAACAATACACACAAATTATGGCTTGGTACATTGCTCGGTTCTGAAGTAATGATTTAGTACGTTTTTGGTACAGCGGGGGTAAAAGAAACAAAACATAAACTTCTTTCTTTATTTCTTTAAACAGTGGTTTAATGAACAAAATATGACTGTCTTAAGTAAAAAGTCTCTGTCTATACTGCTGTAACCTAATAATAAAAAAAACATAATAAAAAACACTGACTTAAAAGTAATTCAAAATAAATATTCTGTCAAGTAAATAAATTAAATATCCATTAAGGGGTGCATTTAGAAATTAACTGTACCTGATCTGTACTGTATTCACATTAGCAACTTTCAGCTTCATATTAGAACTTTACAACACAAATATTGTCTCAAAAATGCAAAGCATAACAAAATAATTATCCATTATGATGCAGCATTTATAAAAATACCTGTGCAGTACTTGTATTCACATTAACAACTTCCAGCTTTACGTTAGGACATACGTGCACATGCGTAGTGGTGCGGTTTCATCCGCCCCTTTCCGAATGTTGCTCTGGGGAAACACACAAACGCAAAGATTCAGCATTTGCAGTATTTGTTCGATACTTATGCATACTGAACCAAAATTTTCATTACGAATATGTTTACCGTTACACTCCTAATTGTTAGGTGTTTCTGTTAATTTTGTCCATGCCCTCCAGCTGTGCAGGTATTAAATTAGCTGGTACACATCTCATAATCTCAGAATCAAACACGTATATTTAAGCGTTTTCTTTGTTTTTCTAGGAGTTCAAGTAGCATTTGGTGAATAAATAGTATCCAATAAGCACTGGAATTTTTAAAAATGTAATATTTTTACCTTGATTTTCCTACTGCGTATTCAGACAGTGTGATCATTTTGTGCCCTCCTGAAAATATTTACCATGCTGATCGTTTTATGCATGCGCCCTTTCTGCCGTCTAAGGTAGGTGATCATTGATTTGTGACTGTGCTGAAATGCATCCCCATACTATGTCCAAACTTGCAGTATCCTTTAATTTCCTGCCTCTGTTCTTCCAATCAGATATACAATGAGAAGGAGCTCCTTCAGGGGAAGCTGGATCTCCTCAGCGACACCAACATGGTGGATTTCGCCATGGATGTGTACAAAAACTTGTACCCTGACAAGGAGATCCCAAACTGTGAGTTATTTAGCAGAGATGCTATACAGAATTAATCATGTCTACCCATGCTGTATATTCTGCTATGTTTTCATCTGAGGCAGGATTTAAGATATTTAATTATAATGGGAATTTAATAAACAGTATATAATATCATCAGCAAACATTATTTTGTAACTCCAGCTCGACCCAGCAGTGTCAAATTGTGTGGTCATTGTGGCCATGTCTATATTTCTAGAGAATGCTTTGTGGCACAAGTGCTGTGACTTAATCTTGGAGAACACTCAGGATAGCACAAGTCAGGGTTTTGGCAAAGTAAACTAAACAAGGTTTAGAAAGAAATGCCAAGTCTTCTGGCTGGAGGGACCTTCCACATGATTTACCTCTGACTGGCTGACTCATTCCAGACGGCGAAGCACATTCTCCTGGAAAATCCCACCCTATGTTTCCTTGATTGGGGGGTGGGGGCACCTCATTTTGTCCACAGTCCATTTGTCCATGAACAACTTGTTTCTTTATTGTTGGATTGGCTTATTAGTCATTACTAAGTAACAAAGGTAACACTTTGCTTTTAGTAATTTATAAACACATTCATAATGCATCGTAAAGCATTCATAAGGCATTATGAACATGATTGTAAATATTTATCAAAAGGCATGTTATGCATTTTGATAAATATTTATAGCCATGTTTATAAGGCTTCATGAATTCATTATTTATGAATTTGCTTATAAATTACGAAAATATGGCCTCAAGTAAAGTGTTGCCAAAACAAATTTGTTTAAAATAGTGAAACGGCTATTTCATCTGAAGACATTAAAGCAGATACACTAAAGTATTGAGACATCCCTACTAATCATTGAGTTCAGGTGTTCCAATCACTTCCATAGCCATAGGTGTATAAAATCAAACACCCAGGCATGCAGACTGCTTCCACAAACATTTTATGAAAGAATGGGTCACTCTCAGAAGCTCAGTGAATTCAAGCATGGTACCATGATAGGATGCCACCTGTGCAAGAAGTCCATTCATGAAATTTCCTCACTACTAAATATTCCACGGTCAACTGTTAGTGGTATTATAACAAAGTGGAATCAATAGGGAACAACAGCAACTCAGCCATGAAGTTGTAGGCCATGTAAAATCATAGAGCCGGGACAACGCATGCTGAGGTGCACAATGTACAGAAGTCGGCAACTGTCTGCAGAGTCAATAGCTACAGACCTCCAAACTTTGTGTGGCCTTCAGATTAGCTCAAGAACAGTGTGTAGAGAACTTCATGGAATGGGTTTCCATGGCCGAGCAGCTGCATCCAAGCCTTACATCACCAAGTGCAATACAAAGCGTCGGATGCAGTGATGTAAAGCTTGTCGCCACTGGACTCTAGAACAACGAATCACGCTTCTCTGTCTGGCAATCTGATGGACCAGTCTGGGTTTGGCGGTTGCCAGGAGAAACGGTACTTGCCTGACTGCATTGTGCCAAGTGTAAAGTTTGGTGGAGGCGGGATTGTGGTGTGGGGTTGTTTTTCAGGGGTTGGGCTTGGCCCCTTAGTTCCAGTGAAAAGGAACTCTTAAAGTTGCAGTATTTGAAGCCATTTTGGACAATTTCATGCTCCCAACTTTGTGGGAACAGTTTGCGGATGGCCCCTTCCTGTTCCAACATGACTGCGCACCAGTGCACAAAGCAAGGTCCATAAGGACATGGATGAGCGAGTCTGGTGTGGAGACACTTGACTGTCCTGCACAGAGCCCTGACCTCAACCCGATAGAACACCTTTTAAATGAATTACAACGGAAACTGTGAACCAGGCTTTCTTGTCCAACATCAGTGCCTGACCTCACAAATACTCTCCTGGACGAATTGTCAAAAATTCCCATAAACACACTCTTAAACTTTGTGGACAGCCTTCCCAGAAGAGCTGAAGCTGTTACCAACTCCATACTAAAGCCTATTTATTAAGAACGGGATGTCATTAAAGTTCATGTGTGTGTAAAGGCAGGTGTCCCAAAACCTTTGGCAATATAGTGTGAACTCCCTGTCAGGCCGTCAGGATTAGTCTCTCTGCAAATAAGCTGGACCAGCTGTGGTGTAAAACCCCTGAAGTCTCGAAGGTAAAATTTACTCCAAAAAATTGCCCAGAGCTTTTTAGAGATTTATTATTAGGTATTCCTGTTTTGATATTTTATTATGTTGTACGTCATCTGGCGAGATGTGAGCTGTTGCCCGTTACCTCTTCCAAGGAGGGCAGCTTTTAAGGTGTGTTACGTTCCGAGCCCAGGGCTGATCCTGACCTTTGTCCCCCCCCCCCGCAGCCTTGAGGGAGAAGAGGACCACTGTCGTGGCCCAACTCAAGCAGCTGCAGTCTGAGACTGAGCCCATCGTCAAGATGTTCGAGGACCCTGAGACGACGAGGCAGATGCAGTCCACCAGGTGAGCTCTCCTGCCAAACGGAAGCCAGCCTTTGGCGAACCAGCCCTCTCATGCAGGTTGACTTAACTGTAAGCCGACATTCACCGTATAGTACTGCATGAGAGTAGCATATATTGTCTTGGCCACATCTGAGCTTAAGATGAGAAAAATATATAGTTTTGTAGCTGCTCTGAGCTTTGTAGGTGAGGAGCTTTTAATCTGTGATGCCCCAGTCTTCTGGCCATGAGCCTTTTCTGTTGAATGCATTTAGAATCAACGTTTCTAACTTTGTTAGAAAATATTAATGAGCAGCAGCAGATCGCTTTCGTTTAGTTCTGAGTGTATATACGGCTCTGGAACAAAATTGAGACCACTCTATATATTTTTTTTCTTTCCTAATTTGTATTGTTAAATCCTGGTTTAATCGTGGTTCTGCTGGCAGAAGGCTACTCTGAGTGGCACAAGGCTCAAAATTTATAAGACCACAGTATGCAAGAAGCAGTTGAAGCAGGAGACCCTGGGAACACCCCTAAACCAGCCAGGTCGATGGCGGAAGTGACTCTCTAATGCCAGAGATGACTGGCAGATTATTCAGCAGATATATGAATCGCAGGATGACATCAAGTGACCTTCAAGAGGAATGGGAGACATCGAGTGGTATGAAGTGCACGGCTAGGACAGTGTGTATCAGGCTCCTAGAAGCAGGATGGAAGTCCCATAAAGCAAGGAAGAAGATCTTCATCAGTGGGCGCTTTTGCATTGTATCAGCTACCATACTTTTGGTACTTTGAAAAAGTACGGTATTCTGCGCGTGGAGGAAGACCCACACCAAAATACCAATGATGTACCCCAGCGGGTTTGGCATTTTTGGTGCTGGTACTCCACCAGAAGTCAATGGTAAAGTTAAAGTACTGTACCACATGCACCGTACTTGGTGCGGTGGAAAAGAATCCAATGAGAAGCAAGGAAGAGCCAGGCTGGAGTTTACAGAAAAATGTGTATTACACAGACCTGTACCCATACATTGACAAAAGAGTGAAACTACAAATTTTGGTGTGGTCTCTTAATTTTTTTCAAGAGCTGTATTTCTTGATTGCTTTCTGTCCTTTAAAATTGGTTTTGTGCTTTATGTTGAGTGCAATTTATGATTTAGTAGAAGTCTCAGCTTTAGTTACAAGGATGTTTTCTCTCTTTTAGAGATGGAAGGATGCTGTTTGATTATCTGGCTGAGAAGCATGGCGTAAGTACCAACAGATCTGTTCTTTATGCGCCCACCTTCTGTTTGTTCCTTTGTGAAGTCAATGATCTGTTGGGATGTTCACTCACACCCTCTACGTCGCGTCATGTGTTGGTTTAACGAATGCTTGGTGTTTACGTTTGCAGGCCTGATTGGGTAATATTCGTGACTAAGCGGTCCAACCGCAAGCCCAAGTACATGGCCAGACTAGAAATTTGAGGCTCTGTTATGTGTCGGATAGACGTCAGCAGCCTTTGTGCATCTTTAAATGTGGTTGAGGAAGTAACATTAGTGAAACTTTTTGAGATGATGAGCTGTTAAATACCATCATTACTGAGGAGCCAGCAGTGATCTTTTAGCTAAATCTCGCCTCATTCTGAATCGTATATTTCAGTTTCGCCAGGAGTACCTGGATACTCTGTATAGGTATGCCAAGTTCCAGTACGAGTGTGGAAACTACTCAGGAGCTGCTGAGTATCTCTACTTCTTCCGTGTTCTGGTAAGTTCTCCAGTTCTTGGACCAAATGGCAAACAACTGCCTAGCTACAGTCTTCCTTGTACTGTTAAACATTACTTTGTCATGCTTCGGAGTTACACTCTTGTAAATTCATAATTCTGCATCCAGTTTTTTGGGAAAATATGTTTAGTCATAATATTATAACTAAATATTATTATTGGCACTCAGTGTGAAAAACTGACTTTATTGTTGCATCTGATTTTCTTTGGTACTCTCACCTCCTGGCATTACCTCACATGTGAATGTCCAAGCTAATGTTACATGTACTTTGGTGTCATGAACCTGCTTAATCCCAGTAAAGGGTGTCATGAACCTGCTTAATCCCAGTAAAGGGTGTCATGAACCTGCTTAATCCCAGTAAAGGGTGTCATGAACCTGCTTAATCCCAGTAAAGGGTGGCACCTCAGTTAGGCCTGCGAGGTGTCTGTTCTTCTGGCTGATTGGCTGCTTGTCACAGGTTCCTTCCACAGACAGAAACGCTCTCAGCTCCTTATGGGGGAAACTGGCCTCAGAAATACTTATGCAGAACTGGGAGGCGGCCATGGAGGACCTCACCCGGTTAAGGGAGACCATCGACAACAATGTAAATGCTCTCCGATTGCTGATTATTGTTAGCCTAGCCTAGTGTGGCTTTAAGTGGACTTAAGCCTGTTTCATTTGGTTTGTATAAGGCATAAATCATTTTTTTTCTTAATTTTCCAATTAAGTGTATACAAATTTGTTTGATAATGGGTTTCCTGTATTTTCTGGTTTTGTAGGTTTTTGTTTGCTAACTGAGCATTTATTACCAGATCTGCAGAATCCTTTTTGGGGTTGTGTTCAGTTTCTTTTTATTGGAATGGATCTTTTTCTCAGCCTGAGGAGAAAAGTTATCCTTTATGGCGTTGCGTCATGCTGTTAGGTGTTGATGCAATGGTTGGCCAGTGGACTCGTCCAAGCATCTTCGTTCTGTTCTGTAGTTGTAAGTTGTGGCAGTGAGACAGCAGGGAATGGCAGTGTTGCATGCTGGGAAGGTAACCGCTTCTCCACCCTTCCTCCATGAAAGTCCGTCAGCTCGCCACTCCAGTCCCTGCAGCAGAGGACCTGGCTCATCCACTGGTCCCTCTTTGTCTTTTTCAACCACCCCAAAGGCCGGGACAACATCATCGAGCTGTTCCTCTACCAGCCACAGTAAGCATCCTCCGCCAAAGCTCTTCAGTCAGTCGCAGTGGGGTGGGCAGGTTTAAACAGCCAGCAGGATTTGCGGGTGCTGGGGAAGAGGTTGGGGCCGTGGCCGGTGCAGGAGTTCAGAGCCAGCGCAGAGCGCCTCGTGCGTTTGGGACCAAAGCATCTTCTGCATCCCCAGCTATTGATTCCACATGCCGTGCTGAAAGGAAATGCTTTTATTGTGGTCCACTATCAAAGCACCTATTTTAATGTGTTTTGGAGTTCGGTTTCATGTTATTAACCAAATTGTGCTTAATGTAAACCATGACATTGGCATCTACGTTTCAGAAAAGAATGTTTTGATTCCTGTTTACAAAGAATGATTTTTTTTTTTCTTCCCCCGGCCCAAGTGAATGAGTATAACACAAAGATTCCCTTGACGTTTTCTGCTAGTTTGAGTTGGGCGATCGCCACCCGCGAGTTCCCTGCATGTCTGCCGTTCGGTCCCTTGGCCTGTTGCCCCCGCATCACATCCTCTATTGGCCCTCACAGGGCAAACTTCTCCATAACCTTGCACTACTTTCAGATCCGCCCTTCGCAGCCCCGTAACGGCACAGTGATACTCGGTCAATGCAGAATTAGCCATATTCACCTGTTGTGAAACCTGTAAGGCTGCATTTCGCTGTGTTATCGTTTACCGATGGGAAAATGTGATCCCCTATCAGCAGGCCGATGTGGCTAGGAGCCTTGTAATATGCTACTAGCTCTTCAATAATGTAATTTTATTTCAAGAAGTTATTTTGAATAGAAACACATTGTATCATATATTTATGGAGTTGCTTGCCAGTACATCTGATATAAGGTATTGTCTTTGCATCGATCATTTTAGTGGAACAGTTTTATGTCTTGTTCTTTCGCTTTTAACATGCTACTTTCACAGTTTGTTTGCTTAGCTAACTACTTTGCTGTGGTAAATGTGGTGTAATTTAAACAAAAAAAAAATCCTGAATCTGGTTGTCGGTGTGAAGTCTTTCATTTTTTGGGTGACGTCTCTCCATGCCCCCCCCCCCCCTGTGATGCAACGTCCATCCAGCTTTGGATTTTGTCCGAGCGCAGGCCATTTGCCCTCTGCCATTGCAGCCGAACGTATTCGCTTACGTCGAATTTATCTCTGGCCAAACCTTTATTGACTTCAGCCCTGCTAATTTTAGCCCATTTTGTTTGTAATGAAAGCATTCTTGGGGTACTTTAACGTGCACCCGAGTCACCTGTTAAAGCCGGTTGTATTACGAAATGCCCACTTGTCTATGAGGCACGGTGAGAGCAGATGCGATATTGAACAGATCCCAGCAATACAAATGGACGGGACATTGTGTGTTGTGACTTCAACTCCTCCCAGGTCTTGCATTCCAGCATTGATTTTTTTATTTTTTTTCCTGCGATCTGAGAAGCCGAACAACAAGGCTTCAGAGTAAGGCAATAGCTGAATCTCACTGTGTATCGCGTCTAATTAATTCCAAGGGCAACCGCATAGTCGTTGTCATAGGATGCCCTGCAGTATGGGTACAAATGGGAAACACAATGCCCGCTGTAGCACAGGGTGGATGTTGCACGTGGGCATCCTTGTTGATTTAATTTTGCGTTGTGAAATCGGAGCTGCGCTGTCTTCCTCAGACAAGGAGAATATTGCACCCACTGTTCTCTAGACAACTTTCAAGCTCGGCTGATTGGGGTGACAGTTTGTGTTCATATCTGTAGTTAATGGCTGACAAAGCGCTTAAGCTCATATGAAATCAATTTTACACATTAATATGATTACATGTAACTGGTTCAAGTTAAGTTTGATGCAGATCTGGAAACCTCAGTTCTGCCATTAATTGGCAGAATGGGATTCAGCTTCATTCAAATGAAGTAGGTCAGTGACATAGCATGTAAAATAATCGCATCCAATTTAGGTCTGGCCGCTATAAAGCAATGTTTTATCATTGATAATCATGACGATATAATTCAAGGCTCAATTTTTGCTTAAAAGTGGTTGCATGACCACCATCTGATTTTGTCGAACAAAGATACTGGTGATCAGTGCCTGGATGCATGGGTTATCTGAAGGACAAAGGCCATAACCTGTATATTATTCATTATTAGTCTTGCACATCAGTGTGTTGATACTAATGCTAATTTCGCTAGTATTTGACGCTAACCCCAAGACAGCGATTCTCACATATGTGTTAGCGGTAATTCTTGATGTTCGTGGTGTCAGCAGTTAATAAGTGTCAACGATACTGTTGCTCTCCAAACCTAGCAACGCCTTTACTCAGCCGACTCTTCCGCAGTGGATAACCGAAGTGAGCTGGAAACGTGCTGTAACTAGTCTCTCTTCGCGGTGCGTTACGGCTCGGTTCCTGTATGCCTGTAGAAAAGTGCCATAATGGACTTATCTGAGGGGGCAATGGATGTACATCAGTGTGGTTTTCATGCATTACGAATGTTTGGTATCATAGGTGACGTTTCCTCTTTCCCAGGTACCTCAATGCCATTCAGACCATGTGCCCTCACATACTGCGCTACCTGACTACCGCCGTCATCACCAACAAGGACGTTCGGAAGCGGCGACAGGTTCTCAAGGACCTGGTGAAGGTCATCCAGCAGGTGGGGCTCAGCCATCTGCACACGATCGCCCACCCCGTAGCTTTCCTGCCATAGGTCATTTAAATGGGGGAATTAGCGTGCCGACTGCCTAATGGGCTAATCCAAGAGGGCGATGGCTGTACAGATGTTTTGCGAGTGAACGAGCAGCAGGACATGGTAATCAGAACATGGTAACAATTTGTGGGGCTGTTTTTTTTTTGTAATTTTTTTGACTGGGAGACGCACCCTAATCCCCTATAACATTGCTGATGACTGTTAGAAAAATCTTTCTTTACACAACATTCCAAGCGGTCCTGTCTTTCCTGGTCCCGGATTGCAGCCCTTTGATCTGATGAGATCTGCTTTTCCTCTGGTTTCAAATGGCATGATTAATACAGGTTCTTTTTAAAGTTCTGAGTCGGTATGCAAAGTGTTTCTGAAGGCTTGTTTTTCTGGTCTCTCAGTTGTTGCATGATTGAGCTGCTGGATCTTTTGGAGTGGGTCCAGTCAGCAGTGTTTAGGTTCAGTTACAGTTCCTGCAATGATTTTAGTGTCCAGAGGCTCACGGAGCTGTAAAAATGGCTTCCTCTTTGTTTGCTCACCGCTGTGGTTGGTCAGAGATCTTGTGTTTACTGCCTCATGCCTTTAAGTTGGTGTGTGGAACGTCTTGGGTTCAAGCCCCGGACCAGCCGAGGTGAATCCTTTTTTTATGGCGTGTGGCTCTGTGGGTTAAGGCTTTGTGCCCGTGATCAGAAGGATGCTTCAAGCCTCGTGGTCGGCCCATTGATTTTACCATTGGGTCTCAAGCAAAGCTCTTAACCCCAATTGCCCCAGGGACTGACTGACCCTGATTCTATGTCGCTTTGAATAAAAGCACCAACTAAGTAAATGTACTTGCATGGACACTGAGATTTTGTGAATTTATTCTCTCGTCAGGAGTCTTACACATACAAGGACCCCATCACGGAGTTTGTGGAGTGCTTGTACGTCAACTTCGACTTCGACAGTGCACAGAAGAAGCTGCGGGAGTGTGAGTCGGTAAGCCGGAGAGCTGCACCTCCTCCACACTGCTGTAAACGTTGGGGCGCGGACGCCCCCCCCCTCCAAACACGGCCTAACTCTGTCCTCCTGGCCTCCATCTGTATAAGTATGACCATTTACAAGAACAATTACATTTTTATAACATTTTTCCATATTGGTTTACATGGGGGGGGTGGGGGAGCGGTCAGGGGGGTAAGCAGACCACAAAAAAACCAAGTGTGTGATATTAGAGTACATACTGTCCGTGGGACAGTGAATATCGTCTTACAGGATCTGAGCAGCCAGTCAGGGAGGACCTCATTTGCGTGAGGTCTATGTACATATCCCGCTCCCCTTATTTAATTATATACACACACATGGTCTGCATCATGGACCTTTGACCCTGCCTATAACTGTAAGTAAGCTGTGAGGCTTTTTCCCTTTTCATCCCCCCCTAACCCAGGCCTCATTAGTTGTCGCGTATGCGTTCTTGTCAGCTTGCCCTCTTTGCATTTTCCTCTCATTAAATGCCTCCCACCCTTCCCCGCGCCTTTTCAAATCGATCTTTGAAGCGGGGAGAAGTATTCGGTCACTTCAGATTGGTAATGAGTGGTTGAAATTGTGAGCCCACCCCCCTCGCCGTTCTGCTGCCGCCAGTTGATGTGGCTTCTATGTAAATCTGTGTTTCCCAACCTGATCCTCAGGGAACCACAGACGGTCTGTGCTTTTCCTCCCTCCCAGCACCCTGCCACAGAGTTCACTTTTTTGCACCCAGGAGCAGAAATGTGGACCGTCTTCATGTCCCCGAGGACTGAATCGGGAAACACTGATGTAGAGGGTACTCCTCAATAAAAGATTCATTAGCAGAATGCTAGGGGCTTTTGGGGCGCTTGTGAAAGTAGGGGTTTATGGTGGGGTGCTGGTTTTGATCAGAGTGTGAGTGTACGTGACGTGTATGCGTGTGTATGTGCGTGGGGGATGGGGGGGAGAGAGAGGTCCTTACATCTTATCTGCTACTGAGTGAATGGTTCCCCCACTCACAGGAAAAGCTGACTGAGCTCAGGAAGCCCTTGAGTTGAGTTGGGGAGCTGAGCTGCTTGTCTGTTTGTCGAGGTTTGACATTTGGATTCCCAAGGGCTTCAGTACATTGCAGGTTTCGAGGCTTCAGTGGCAAAATTCGTAGTAGACGAGCTTAATTTTTGGCAAATCTGTTGTCAACCATTTTTGTCAACCATCACCTCATTTTTGAGTTGGCATAGAAACCTGGAAACCAGTAGTAAAATATCTACTCGTTTACAAAATATGTCCATAGTTGACAGTAATAATTGACTCCGTAAATGATGCTGTTTCTCGGTCATTGCAAAACCAAAGTGATTACTGCATTTCTATCTGACGACTGCTGGTGTAACTGTTTCATTTACTTTTTATAGTGAAAGGAGACTTTATTTTAATTAAACTTTATATGAATGGTTACAAGTAAATTTGTATGGTTTGGGCAAAAGCTTAGTTTCCATGGATAACTATGAAGTAACTGACCAGAATTTTACTAAAGTACCATTTATTAGAAAATGTGTCCCACAATTTAAGAAGCACTAATTAGATTAAGATTGTTTCCTGTCACTGGGCAGGCAAATGTTATGTTCAAGGTCCTTACATTGCACGAAAAATGGTGACACCCTGCACCTTTTCATGAATTAGAGAGATAGTGAGTACCTGGTGTGGATTTTCTATAAGACATTTTATATGATGATATACAAATGGCAATTTACATTGTAGTAGGACCTGGGTTGATTAAGAATGTACTTTTGAAAGACAATTTTTGTTGCAAAATTGATACATAATTAACAATTCATGGGTTTAATTTTTACCTAGGTGGAATTTTAGTATCTGGTGTAGTGTGACCAAAACCACAGCACTCTGGATGTTAACGTTTAGAGAAGAGGAAAAAGTTGGAAAAGGACGTAATTGGCCTATATTCTGAAGACTGAGGTTTTTTTTTTTTATTTTAAAAATGTCACTTTTTCTTGATTTAATTTAGTGCAGGCCCATGAAATTCTTGCCAATTTTAAGAGAATTAAGTAAACACAACTGCATAAATGTATATGCTACATATCCGGCAAGGTAGTGTTTGATTGCCAACAAAAGCCGTTTTTGTAATAAGAGTTTTGGCAGTGTAGTTTTTAAAGTTGGATGTTTTTAGAATTATTAAAAAAGACACATACTCTTGATATTGTTTTGAGTCTTAAATGGTTCTGCAATTGAAGCAACACCAAACATGTTTGTCTGCAGGAAAAGTAAAAATGTTCATTTATTTTTTTTATTTTAATGACTACATTGCAGTTACTAATTTAGTGCAATGTTATTGCTTCTAGATGCATTATAAAAATAGCTGAATGGTTTGGTGAGTCCTCTGAATCCTACTGGATGCCGCAAAGCTGTGATCCTCTATGTTTGTGTATCTATTAGGGCTGCAACTGTTTAATTTTTATAATCGAGTATTCTATCAATTTTCATTTTAATGAATAATCTAGTATTCACTTAAAATAAGTATTTTGCTGAAGTGTGAGAATGAACTTAAGCCAGTCGGGTCTTTGAAGAAACAAATAGTGGTTTTCGTGTCATGAAAGTCAAAATTTTGCTGCGCAAATTCGCTAATTTTGTCAACAAAAGTACAGTCATATTGCTGCCATATTGCATCTGTATATACTGTCAAAGTAAAAGTTTACTGAAAAGTTCAAAATGTAAAAAGCGAACACGTAGGCCCAGTTTACACTTGGTTTTAAAATGCATCTTTTTCAATCGGATCACAAGTAGACAATCAAGACACTTTTCTGTTTACACGTGTCTATCATGGATCTGCAAAGCTTATAGCTGAACACGTGTTCAGATTTTGTTACTGCCCTGCAAAGTTATTGTGACATTTTTGTGGGGTACGCATCAGGACACATTAGCGTTTACACTACAAACGAGATGTGATGAAATGTGCCCCAGACCACCTTGGGAAGTGGTTAGAGTGATCAGATCACAATGCATCTTGGTGGTCGTCTACACTTGTATTTAACACTGTCCGCTTGCAAAGCGATCGCCCAAGATGCATTTTAGAACAAAGTGTAAACAGATGCAACATGTGCATGTTCAAAATGCTGTCACTGGTGAACATGGTTGAGGCATCCTCATAAAGTTGTCCATAAGAGACTGTGGTTTACTGAAAAAGAGAATTTATTTCCCATTTATATAGTCTCTCTGAACAGAGAGAATTTGGTTGTGTTCAGGTTAAAATCAGGTCACATAATCTAGAAAATAGCATTAAAAAGTGCACGTAAAATATTACTCTGCCCAAAATCTGAAGTTTATTGCACACCTCTGCTGTCCACACAACTGTCCAAAATGTACAGAAACCACATTGTCAAAATATATGTAAAAATATGGCATTACACACACTCATTTTGTAGTTGGCACAGTAATCTGTTGGGGCTAGCATCTAGCATAATTAGCTGCTAACAGTAAGGTCCCCCAGTTTATGAAGGGACTGTGTTCATCAGTATTTCAAGATATTCTTATTTTTACCATACCAATGCTAGTAGATAGTATGTGAATTTTAATGCCATTAACAACTCAGTATTATGCATTTAAACAACTCAGTATTACATTTTCTGTGATGGATATAATTAGTGCTTAAAAAGAAATGTGTTTTTTTTTTTTTTAGTTCGGTAAGTGTGTATTGTCAAAGTCAATGAGTAATTGTGCAAAAAGCAAAAAACGCAAACTCAATATTGACCAAAATAATCATGATTGTGATTTTTGCCCTAAGCAAGCAGTCCTAATTTCTGCTACCGCTCGTCTTTTCGTTTCGCTCTTAACCTGCTGTGATTCTCCTCCATTCCTCCATGCTGCGTTCGGTGCTCCAGTTAAAATTGTCCATGCACTGCTGCAGTCTGCATAATTTCCGTGCATCATAAAATGAATAATCGAGGCAGAGAATTTGCTTCATGGATTTTTATGAATCCTTTTTTTATTAATTATTTCAGTAATCGTTTCAGCCCTAGTATCTGGGGGTGCTAGAATTTGATCCAGCAACCTGCTGGTGCTCTCTGGGGTGATAGAACTAACCTGCTGGGGAGAGCCTGTTAAAGGGCACTTTTACTCTATGCCAGGTACCGTGCTTTTGCTACCATACTATCAGTACTTTGCCTTTACCATTAACTTCCAGTCAAGTATCAGTATTGAAAGTTCCTGTCCCTATAATGTCTATACAGTATGAAGAACTGCATGTGCATAACATATGATGCTGGTATTGATGTCACGCATTGAATTTGCAAGGAAGTCACTTTCCTACACATCTGTAATGTAATATTTTGCCATAAATTTTAGAAATCTGGGCAAATGTCTCGATCGATGGGCTTCATTTTGTGTTTGTGTCTCATACCATGATCATTTTCTCCCCGTGACAAACACCATGGAACTGTCCATCAATTTCTGTGCTGCAATGGACTGATTGTTAAAAAAATATATATATATATATGCAAATGTGTTGATATTCTGTCTGGCTCACAAATTGGGTTATTGTAATTGAGCAGAAAAGTAAGGGCTCTTCTCTCCTGGAACTCTGTGGGGTCTGTCAGCCGCAGTTTCGCGTTGCCGCTGCTCTCGTTGCCCTGGTGGAATCGCTGTGTGATGGGGGGGGGCTGGCTAGCCGATGAGAAGGTCACCGAAGGGCCCCGACCTCCATCCAGACCCCGAAGCCGGAGGATGTGAGGATGTGTCAAGGCGTGTTGGTGATTGTGTCCATTGCGTTCTAGTCCCACAGAAACCTTGAAGAAGCCATTGAAATAGTCGTTACTGTTTTGTTGTCTTTTTAAACTTCTGGTAATTTGTGATCCGTGGGGAATTGAGAACCAGATGGACTCAACATTGTCCTATTTGGCAGCATAAATATGTGCAGTTTGTTAAAGTAACACTATGCGGTGACAGTGTTAATTAACTTATGATAACACAGCAGAATAATTAAAATATGTTTTGAACAGGAGCAGAGTTTCTGTTGCTTATACACAACAGTATCTGTTTGCTGCTGTTTGACCTTCATTTGGGAACTCCTCCTCTCTTCTTCCTAGGCCACAGAAACTCATTAAAAAAAAAAAAAAGCATTACAATTTTTATAACAGATTCTTCATTTGAAGAAATTCACACATTAATTATACAATAGTACTACAGACCCAGCCCATCATTGCGCAGTACCCTAAGCCCATTGTGTGCAACTGGCCATGAAAGGTGAAACCTGTAACGTTAGACTGCTACTGGAAAATGACGAGGAGACGATAATATAAAATAACACATTTTTGTTTATTTAGCAACCCACTGGACAGAAACGGCAGCCAGCCGGTATTAGCCTGTTCTACCTTTTATTGCTTATGATCCACGGAAATCTGCAGAGATTAGCAGCTAGTTACAGCATTTCTTACACAAGTTAAAGAAAAAAAATAGCGGCAACAAGAAAAACAATCTAAACCTGACGATAAGATATCTGATAAAATGTCAAAGGTCTATGAGGATAAAACTTAAAACATCATCACGCAATGAAATGCTGCCTATGCTTCATGCTACATCTAATGTTAACATTGTTGAATCTGTCTATTTGCTCATTTTCCAGACTCCTCACACTAACCAGCTTCAGCCAATCTGACTAGCAGAATAGATTCACAGAAGTCTGCCCCTAGTGACTGATCCCTTAGGGTGATTATACATTGGGCAACGTTTTGAGCATTGTTCCCAGCAACAAGCAACAAAGTGAAAAACAGGGCAACTAATTAAGGCACTTAATCAGCAACCAATCAGAGAAGAGCAGATCTATTGCCAAGGAGACAGACACTGCAAAGACGGACACTGAAACTTTTGCAGCTGTCCGTTGTCTTGGCTTGATCCGTTTTACTTAAGTATCACATATAGCACAACACTGAGTAGATAATATGGTCAAAGGATACTTTGACAATTTTTAAAGGCACCATAGAATGAAGATGAAAAATCTGACTACCTCGGCATGGTTGAATAAGGAGAGATTGGCAAATGGACCTGACATACCATGAATCTCAAACACTGTTGTTCCCTTTTCAAATATAAATCCTGTATTACATATACAGTAATATGGGTTGATTCAAAAACCCTAGACTGTTACATAACAGTATTAAAAATGATTAGAGTGTTCTGGTTGCAATCAGGGATGTAGAGGAGGGTAAACACACCTAAACGCTGTTAACACACCTTTTTTATTGTTTACTCGCTCATAATTATGCCAGTTAAAAATTTGAGTCGAAATATACCACGTCGTTCACTGCGTTAGCCTAAATGGCACACCCCACTAAACTATAACAAAATTTACTGTTTATCTGAATTTGCAGTTATCCTGTCATGAATAGATGCATCTCCTCAGTGAAAACTATCCCACATCACAAAATAAAAAGTTGTAGCTCCTCTTTTATTGTAAACACAATCCAGCCATGAGCTTTTATTTAAAGGCGTAAAAATCAGGCATTTTCAGGTTATAATAATTGCCAGATTACCATATTGTTATCATATGAATAGCACTATTTGCAAATGGGTGGGTGATCGGCACTGCTTCCTGACTCTGTTGTTCTTTATTTTCCTCACAAAGCTCTAAAACATATTTAGCCGCATATATATTTTAAAAGTAGTCCGTTCAAGGTTTCTGGGGGCATGTTTCATGTTTCTAGGACAAAAGTTGTTGGTGAAATTTCGATTCTATTCCACACGTGGCATTGTTGACTCCAGAGGGTAAAAAAAAAAACATTGAAGATACAGAATGTTTTCGATGCAGTAGACCCGCATACATTACGCAAATAAACATATTGTAGATAGTGTGTTAATCATTTTGATAAAGGACATGGAAGTTGCTCTATTTTTTTTTTTTACCTCTTTCACTCTAATTCTAGCAGCAGCAAAGAGAAATCGATTTACCTGAGACTTATGTTTACATGCTAATGAAGCTCTCATTCCCATGACAAATGTTAGTTACGACATATACTACTTACAACATGAATACATGAATGCACATATTAATTTACTCTATTAGGACTGTGAATCGGGAAAAAAAAAACTAATCACAGTGTTTTGTGGTTTAATTGCGATTAATCGCACCTAACATTTAAAACTTTTGCAATCATGAATATGCATACATCGAATCCCCAAATTAATGTGTAATTGTCACACTGGGGAGTATATGGGTCATTCTTATGATCTTATTACTATAACATATCACTTTTCTCTAATTTTTAGACTAGTTTGAAGACGGACTCAAACAACTGAATTTTCTAAATTGTCAAATTTGCCTCAGAGGTAGTTTTGTTATGTTATCATTTATGACTGGGAATAAAACAAAAACATTTAATCAAATCCGGGGCAAGAGTTAGCATTTTAAGAAATCATCTTGCATTGAAATATGGGTTTATTGATTGTTTATTGTGGTTACATGCAAAAAAGTTATTTGATTTTTGGCAAAATTTTGGGGGAAATGGACATACTTAATATATCTATAAAGGTTATAGTAATATCAATTGTTCTACAAAAACAAACTCATTGTGACATTTTTCAAAAAAATTTGAAGTTGACCCATATTTCAATATTTGTTTTATGGTTTAATTTAAACTTGTCATACAGATCATTCATTTAAAAAAAAATACTCATTGCAAGCAAGTACAAGCTAAATTTCAGTGCTTTCAAAAAGGTTAGAATGAGCAGGTGGCAACAAAAGTTCAATGTATTATAAATATGGATGTTAATTACTTATTTGCACACCTTGGTGAATCACTGGCAATATATATTTACATATAATTGCATGTACTCCACACTATTCAATCCCGACCACGTGATCTAAAATATAAAATAAAATTACCAAATGCCTGTAAAAGTGGAAACCTGATAACCTCTGAATGTAAGTGTAATAACATGAAAAATCTTAAGATTTTAACTTGTACGCCTTCAACAAAATAAAACATACTGCAGAGTGTGGTATTTTTATCCTATGCATGTCTCTGTCTGGCAATTTTTCTTAAATGAATTGAACCCGGCAGCACACCTTTCTTGTGAGATGCTAACTCAGAGAGACGCCTGGCGAATTAGAATACATCTTAGACTGTATACAGCTATTTACATTTATTTCAGGGGAAAAAAACGATCGTCGATCTGCACTTTTCCTGACACCTCTCACAGTGGTGGGGTTGGAGAACAGAGGATTTTTTAGGTGTGAATTTTGGGATTCTGTGCAACATAATGACCTAAACTCTTGCATTGTTTGCTACCAGGAAGGAATATTATTGGTCTCCATTAAAATCTATGCTCATACTACTCTCCCATTTGGGTATCAAAATACTGCATGCATTAATGCGATTAAAGAAATAATGCATTATGTCTTTTAACAGTTTAAGGTATAGAGGTCATTTTAATTGTGTGGTTTCAAAGCAAGCCGGTGACTGTATGGTTGGTCTTGCTGATCAACCCCACAGTGTCACATTATGTGATCCTATCGTGGACCGTGGGTGGGATCTGAACAAAAAAATTTTGCCTTGGGGGCCCTGCACAGGTGATGTGCTCAGGCTTCTTAAAACTACGTTGATTTCATTTGAAGTATGCGGCCCCATTTAGGGACAACAAAAATAAGGAAAGACGCGTATACTAATAGTACCCTACATGAATCTTTAAAAATTCGAACATGAATTTTTGCCAATGATTTATAGAAATATTTTTTACGATTCAAATTTTATGTGAACAATGATGTCCGACCTTCCGAGCCTAGTTCTTTCTCTCCGTGCATGTCGTTCTTGGCATTGTAATGGAGTTCCGCTGGTTTTGGGCTCATTTCCGTCACTGTTGTCCTGCAGGTGCTGGTGAACGACTTCTTCTTGGTGGCTTGTCTGGAGGACTTTATTGAGAACGCTCGCCTCTTCATCTTTGAGACCTTCTGCCGTATCCACCAGTGCATCAGCATCAGGTGAGTCCTATCTAGATGTCAAGAGGGCCCTGAAATTACCTTCAAGAAATCATAGTATCCAAAGGTGGGTCCATCCAGCACAACATCTGTAGTGGGCAGTTCTTGGCAGTTCTGAGACCTGGCTTTGAGGTTCCGTGCTTGGTTTTGTCTGCTTTGGTGGGTCTTCTGTGGGTCCCCCAGTCTGGCCGACCAAGTAACTGTTAGACAAAATGTTTAACAGTCCAAAGGGTGTTAAATATGATTGTAATTTCATAATTGAGATCTGCAGCACTAATCCAATTATTGCAGGCCAGTGGGTTAGAGGAGATAGAGCAAGATGTGTGTTAACCTAAATATTTAACTTGAAAGCTGTTGGCTCAGTCATTTATCTGCTGTGGGCTTTTGAGTGGTTTTTGTTAATTATGCATTAAAGAAGGAAAAATCAATCTGGCTTTTACTGCCGGATATTGAAGGGATGTTTGGTTGCCCATATGTTTGGATGCTGATTGCTGCTATTCGTTTTTTTAGTTTAGTGGAATTGCATTAGTGAGTGGTGGAAGCGTAATTGTAATATTAAACCTGTATCTGAAACTGTTCCATAGGAAGAGATCGGTCTTGGAGGTGAGACAGAGAACACACACAGTGTTATGATGTGTGGCTTCTTTCGGTCTGATTAAACCATTATTTTCATCAGGGAAATGCATACCTGTGGTAGGCTAGCGGTCGAGTTGAAAGCTGCTGCCGTTATCGGTGCATTCGCTGGGTACCAAACCACCTGGAGGCAAACGGGGTATTTTGAGATTCATCTGTAGTCCGATGATCACACTGAATGCTGGGAAGTTAGTACAACCTCAAGGGCCATGAATCAAGATTTGTCGGCCGCCTGCTGTTAGTCATGATACTGTGATGACAAAATAAGATTCTTCTTTGGTAGGTGGTTTGCTTGTATGCAGTTTGTGTTGACATGTGTGGGGCGGTGTTATGTTAAAAGCGGGGCAGAAAATACCAGGATTTGAGCTAACGACCAGTAGCCTGATTGTCTCCAGACCTTCCTTTACTCTGCCTTGTATCCTTGTTTTAATCATTTGGCTTTCCGCTATGTAAAATGGGCAAGTCTCCTACGGTTTTGATTTCCTTTTACGAAATGAACTCTGCAAGACGCAATCGGCCTTATAGCATTATTGGATCTGGTTCTTCCAGTGGAGCTTTTGGCGTCGCATTGAGGCCGGGTCTTCAGGTGCTGCCTGCCTCTTACGGGGGACTCTTTGGGGGTGTTCCACAAAGCAGGATTTCTTGCTGAGTCAGATAACTTGTTGGATTTAAGGTAGTCTGAGCTAGATGGACTTTATTCGCTTATATTTAGCCCAGACTACCTTAAGCCCCCTTTACACAGTGAAACCCGAAAAGGGCTCCTCCTCTTTGCGTGTGTCTTGTATGTGGATTCTTCGACCCAAAGAATGAGGCGTCGAACTTGGATGCCTCAGGAAGCCTGGCGGCATGTTATATGCTGATTCATTCTTTCACTGCTATCTGTCATTTACATTTTGCTCATTTGCAGTCACTGGAATTGTACCTTTGTGTGAAAAGGGTAATTCTGCAGTATAATTGCATTACTTGGAGACTGTGCATCTAGTCTGGTTTCTCAAAGAATCAATATAAATTCCAAGCTGACGAGTTGGGCCCTGATTCTGAGTGCCCGAACATAGGAATATGTAACCGTGTGTTACTGCTGACGTAAGACTCGGGTCATTTGGCTGTCAGTCAGAACCAGCCTTTCCTCCATCCTGGGGCTGGTACTGGGTTCGCTGCCCTTTCAAAGCTTGTTCACAGAAGAGGCACATAAGAACAGCCTGTTAGACCTTAGGGGGAAGGACCTGCAGGTTTTATCATGGGGTATGGGGCATTCCTCTGTGTTGAATTTGATTTGTAAAAGTGTTCTGTGTTTAATACAAGCCGGCAGTCATCTAACCTTGGGCTATTATGGGTCACTGGTAAATGGTATTAATGTATTAACCTCTGTGGGTACAATGCTACGGAATGCTACAGAATTTGAGAAATGCCATGGATTATTATCTTTTAGTTATATTTTTTTATTGTATTCTCGTGATTACAGAATAATTTCCGGTAACGCTTTACTCAAAGTGTAATATATACTTTAAGAATTCATTTTGAAGGTATTATAAAGACAGCTATAACTATTTATAAAAAGGCATAACGTTATAGCCATGTGTTTTATGCCTTATGAATGCTTTATGAAGCTCTCATCTATAATGCACTTTAAGCAAGCTTTGAAAGGGCAGCGAACCCAGTACCAGCCCCAGGATGGAGGAAAGGCTGGTTCTGACTGACAGCCGAATGACCCGAGTCTTACGTCAGCAGCAACACATGGTTAAATATTCCGATGTTTCAGAATCAGGGTCCAACTGCTCTGCTTGGAATTTTCCTCTCGGTCTTCTGTTTTCCCCTCCACAGGCCAAAAACTTGCTGTGGTTAATCGGAGTTACCGAATTGCCCGTAGGTGTGCATGTGTGTGTGGATGTTGTGTGACTGTGCCCTGCGATGGGTTGGTGCCCCATCCTGGGTTATTCCCTTCCTTGTGTCTGTAGCTTCCGGAATAGACTCTGGAACTCCAAGACCCTACATAGGACAATTGGGTGTAGAAAATGGACAGATGGTATCGTGACAGCAAAGATTACGTGTGTTATTCATAAGTTGCAGTATGGATCCCTTCATCACGGACTTGAAAGACCTGAGGAAACTCTAAATCAAATATTACGAGACGCGATATTACACAGTGACATCAGGCTCACGTGGATGAACACAAATGTTAATATTTTCAAAAGCAAGGCATAAAACTACTTTAGCCTGCGTCAAGCCTTGATTGCGCTGATCAATATATTCCGACTCTACTGCCATTCCAAAGAGGATAACTCCCAGTCACCCACTGTGGCTGTAATATGATAAGCATTAGGTACTGTGTTTATCCTTGTAATTATTTTATCACGAGAAAACAATATTCATTCTCTCAATCTCAAGAAAATTATTCCATTCTCACGAGAAAACGGTATTTCCATACAATACTGTTCCAAGTAAATAATCTTAGAGGAAATTAGATATACGTATTAAACTATTCACTGTGGTTAGATCCACACCATTTTGTTTTTTTGTGTGTTTTTTTTTTTATTATATATATATAATATGGATAAGGTAATGAGTGTTTGTTTTTTTTTGGTCATGTTTTCCTTCCTGGTATGGATCACGGTTGGTAGTCGGCCATTTCATACGGTCCCCAGTGAGCATTTCACCAGTGCTCTAAACCAGCGGGTTTTGCCCTGGTCCTGACATCACAGCGAACTTGTTTGAAGTCACCAATGTGCAAGTGATCTTGCAGAGCATGTAAAATGTTTTCAAAGCAGTGTCTTAAGAGTCTGAAAGACAAAGAGCCATTTTGCTTTGTTGTAAACTTTCTCTGGATACATTTGGTGGGATAGAATGGGAATTTAAACATTCCAAGCCCATCCTGTCCTTCATTGCAAAGACCTGTAGTCATGCACATCCTGAGATCCAGCTCGGAAACACCGTCCACGTTTCACAGAGCATCTGTTGTCTTTTCCTTTAATTTGATTTAGTTTTTCCATTTTGGTACCGCACAGCTGCCCACCTTTTGTGGAGGTTATCACCGCTTTCCCCGCCGCCCCCCCCCCCTTTCTAAACCAGCCCTACAACGCCTGAAGCCGTGTGTAACTTGGAAGAACTGCCAGTGCATGTTTCCTGCGGTGACTGGTCTGTTATTAAGTTAATATCTCCTCGGTTACCTTGTCAGGGTCTCGCTCTGCTAAATATTGGGATGTGCTGAGAGTCTCCCACCTTCTTCTTAGAGTCTTGAGGACACTGCCCCCCCCCCC